TATGTATAGATATAGAAATATTTGTAAACATTTATAAACTGCTCTCAGCTCAGGTAGACTTCCTCTACACTTGCGCAAGCACAGACCCACAAATGAGTCATGTTAGAATATACACTTAATGCGAGTAGTCAGTTTTGGCATCATATGATGATGGGCAAAATCTCTTTAACTACTTTTTAACAATACCCTGTGAAAAAGCTTACCCCTGTTTCACTGTAGTGATCTAAGATGGAGGGGAGAAGGGGGAGGATTACTGTGAACCCCAGTAGGTCCAATAGAAGAGCCAGAAACACCACCCGAATGACTCTGGAAGAGTGTCTGTCATCTGGAGAACTCTTCTCTCCTGCCATCACTGTTCCCTTCACTGGCCTCTTCAAAAGTGAACAACCTTGGAGGATCCTCAAAGCATCTCCTGGGGTCACTGAGATGACACCGCTTTCAATGACAATAAGTGAAATAATAAATAAGTGCAATAATAAACCTGCAAAACTGGCAAGTACTGCCAATCATTTCTTGGTATTAATAAGGAAGTAAGTCCTTAAAGCTCTACCAGGAAACACTCGGTGATGCTCAAATGTCAACAAAGTTATCATTGTTACTTTACCATTACAGTTTCCATTAAAACCACTACAATCTCTATTATAACCATCATAAATTCTATGAGGGGTTCTACTGGGGGTATTTTCAGCAGGGTTGTAATATGCATTATTTTTTAGATAATGCGGGTGTGAACTTTAATAGTTTTGAAAACTGGAAATACAGAAGAGGGGGTGGGGGGGGGGGGGGGTTCAGACACACGACTGTTCAAGTCCCATAATTTCCCATGCAGAACTCCCAAGGTAGGGAAGTGAAGTAAACACACGTGGAGATACTGGATATAAACGTGATATATTAATACTGGATATTAATACTGGATATATCACACTGGATATATTATACTGGATATATCACACTGGATATATTATACTGGATATTAATACTGGATATATTATACTGGATATTAATATTGGCTCTAAAAGAGACTGCTGCTCGAAACAGTGTAGCATAAAGACAAACTGTTACTGAAGACAGTTGTCTGAGTCGCACTGTTTGCTTTAGCCGCAGTATTTAAATAATAAAACACTGCAGGTTGTTTAAAGAAGCAGACGATTACCTTCAGCTGCTGTCTGTCCCTCAGTCCTGTTCGTTTGAATGAAAGCACTCGTAACATGTACTGACACAGTCAGTAGTCTAGCTCTACACGACTTCCGTACTGAACAGTTAGGCGGAACGGTGCGCAGTAACGTGGTGTAGTTCAGTACTCAGTCTGGAATGTAGCCTCGTTTCAACAACCAGGAAGTGGTGTCCGGTTTCAGAAAATATTCTGGACGTGAAAAGGAAGTTTGGAAAACGAGAAACAGAAAGGAAATAGTTTTATACGTGAAGTGATCAATATTACATCGATTTCTCTTTCAATCTGCTATTTGAAAAAACAAACTATTATTATTATTATTATTATTATTATTATTATTATTATTATTATTATTATTATCTGTAGACTATACCTCATGCAACAGGAATACTGTTTAAATCATGGACTCTGCCTTCTAGATGTCGAACACAACAAACAGACAAATAAACAAATAAATAAATGGAGGGGGGCACGTTTGCCTCGCACCTCTGGGTTGCTGGTTCAAATCCCACCTCCATCCTGTGTGCTTGGAGTGCGCAACTCCCTGTGCTGTGGGGGTTTCCTCCAGGTAATCCAGTTTCCTCCCCAGTCCAAAGACATGCATTTGTAGGCTCATTTCCAAATTGTCCGTAGTGTGTGAAAATGTGTGTGATTGTGCCCTGCGATGAATTGGCACCCAACCAAAGGTGTCCCCCACCTTGTGCCCTGAGCTCCCTGGGATAGGCTCCAGGCCCTGCGACCCTGTATAGGATGAGCGGTACAGAAAATGGATGAATAAATAAATAGTCTATAAATTAGTTTGTTTATAAGCCTACCCCTGGTCTTGATTTATTTATATTGTATATATAGCACTTTGTGCAGCATTTTGGTCAAAGGAGCCAAAAGGTGTTTTAAATGTGCTCTATGAATAAAATTTACTTATTTTCTTACTTACTTACTTTACATTTACGGCATTTGGACGCCCTTATCTAGAGAGACTTACATTTATCTCATTTATACTTTATATTATATTATATTATATTATATTATATTATATTATATTATATTATATTATATTATATTATATTATATTATATTATATTATATTATATTATATTATATTGTGTACATTAATGTCTTTAAGTAGACATATATGATATCTCCGTTTTGTTGATCTTTGCTTTATTAAACTAAAAATAAAAAAGGCGTGAGGGGAATATGTGAAGAACGGATTTAAGAAAAAAAGAAAGAAAGAAAGAAAGAAAGAAGATATTTTCCCCTGTAAACTGAAATGTTCTACACAATATTTACTGTAATGTATACACATGAACACGTGAGGGCGCTGAAAACAAGCTCGCGTTGTGGCTCAGGGTGACGAGCTGTTTACTACAGTAGTTACTTTAAAGTTAAATTCAAATCTGGATTCGGGTTTTTCCGAAGTCAGTCAAATCATTTGAGGTGTCACAGAATAATTCAGATTTTTATTTTAGGCTACATATTCAACATAAAGATTTAAATGTTAGTAAACATTAAAACAGGATGCATGAAGAACAGCGTTAATGTGATGAACATAATATAAATCATAGCAAAAGGTTAGAGAAATTTAGATTCTAATTAAACATTTAAATTATAATTGTAAGCATCCCCCCCTCAGCGGAACCTAGTAGCAGTTCGATGTTTCCGACGGGACCATTTACCTACAGCACACAAGTCCTTCACGTTACTTACATGTCACAACATTAATGTAAGTCGGAAAGTACGTACATCAGACAGTAATTAGGGTATTTTTAGGACTGTGTTGATGTTGTATATTTAATGTAGCTTCAGTCCATCATTGTGACATAGCATGTTAACTTGTAGCTGTTTAGCTAATGTTCATTAGCTGTTCTTTCAGCCCGTTAGCTGTTAGACAGTGTGGTGTAGAGAATGTAAACAGTAAAGGTGAGGGTAGTTGATGAAATCTCAGTATGGTGAGTGACTTACACTCGCTCTTATAATGAATCAATGAGTTACAAACAGAAAATCATCCAAATGAATGATAGTGTTATTTAGTGCGGTTTTTTAGGGTTAGGATAATTAAAATATCGACCTGTAAAGATCTGTAAAAGTCACGTGGTGCCTTCGGCAGCACACAGTAGTATGTAACAGTAAAAACAGCACATAATAATAACAATAATAGTAATAAAATATGTTTCATTTATATAGCACCTTTCCCAGGAACATGGTCACTTTACAGTTGTGGAAAAGGAAACACACGAAGATACAAAATAATAAACAGACTATGAAGCATCTGAATAAAGAAATTCCCCCATGTTTTTTTTTGTTGTTGTTTTGTTTCAGGTGTTCATTGACCTGTAGGCTGCTCTCATTGTCACAGTAATCAAGATGATGTGTGCTAAGATACCGACACTGCTTAGCTCACACGCACTACGCAGACTTCCATCACAGACGTGTGTCACTTGTTTTACGACTCTTCAGAAGGACAGGAGAGATTACAGTACTGTTTCACTTGCATCAGGATCCTGTTTTATTAAGAGACACTTTCAGAAACAGAGGAGGAGTTTGTCAGACATCCTTCTCTATGGTCTTAACAACAAAAGATCTTTCAGCCTGAGTCCTGCAGGGATAGTAGATGCTTCTCCAGCGTCTGTTCAGCCATACCTCCGCTTAATGAGATTGGACAAACCGATTGGTGAGCTTATGTGAAGCAAACACATGTCTGATTAGATTGTTATCAAAACAGTCCAGACATCACAGGATCTCACATCACCTCAGTAATATTATACATGTGTCACTGACTGTTTTGTGTGGTTTGTGTTGGTAGGGACATGGCTGCTGTATCTGCCGTGTACATGGAGCATCGGGCTGGCGGCGGACCCGGGCTGCTTGCCTGACCTACACATGCTTGCACTGTTCGGGACTGGAGCTCTGCTGATGAGAGGAGCGGGCTGTAGCATTAATGACATGTGGGACAGAGACTTCGACAAGAAGGTATTCTTTTCATGTGGTGCTGGAATACAGCTGTTATTCAGTTTAATTCATCCTGATTGTATGTTTAAACCTTTCCTGCATGTTTCCCTCAAAACATTTCAATGGGAGCCAAATCTGGGCTTTGACTAGACCATTCCATAACCCTCCATTTCTTCTTTTTGAGTATTACTTGGTGGATTTGTTCATGTGCTTAGGATCAATATCCTGTTTAAAAGTCCACTTTCAGTTAAATACATTAGTGACGCATTTACTAAAAGTTAAGTATCAGACCTAACCCAGTTCTTTCTATATTCACTTTTGCATCTTCTTTTTTTATTATTCCCTGTAGCTTCATACGCTCTATATTCTCTTTTATTATGTTTTAAACTCTTCGTAATTTATGTGGCCATGCCACTGTAGTCTTACTACTTCACAGAAGCAACATGAGGGCTTTTCAAGCTGCTGTAAGTGTGTTTTTTTTTCTTCTCCTTTCTATCACTGGTTCAACAGTCTGTTTTAGGCCACTCTAAGCTTTACTCTTCTCAATTGAGAAGAGTTTGTATAGCTTCTGTAATTCCTTTACATGGCTCATTTTCACAATATCAAATCATGTTTTGGTAGTGATGGGTAAAAGTGTATGATTATTGATTGTAAGTCATCTTATGTTGTGCAAGGTCTTCTACTACTTTCTACTCTTCAGGTGTCCCGGACGGCCACGCGGCCCATAGCTGCAGGACAGATCTCTCAGTTCCAGGCACTGGTCTTCCTGGGAGGCCAGTTGAGCTTAGCTCTGGGGGTCTTGCTGTGTCTCAACAATTACAGGTATGTCACTTATCTTATATTGTACGTATTATTTTAATTTGAGTGGTTTTTAGTCGGGGGCATGGTGGCTTAGTGGTTAGCACATTTGCCTCACTTCCAGGGTTGGTGGTTCGAGTCCCACCTTTGCCTTTTGTGTGCGGAGATTGCATGTTCTCCCCATGCTTCAGATGTTTCCTACAGGTACTCTGGCTTCGTCCCCTAGTCCTAGTCCAAAGACATGCATTGTAGGCTGATTGGCACTTCCAAATTGTCTGTAGTGTGTGAATGGGTGTGTGATTGTCCTTTGCAATGGGTTGGTAACCCGTCTAGGGTGTCTCCTGCCTTAGTTCCCTGGGATACGTCCATAGCTGTAGGACAGATCTCTCAGTTTCAGGCACTGGTCTTCCTAGGAGGCCAGTTGAGCTTAGCTCTGGGACTCTTACTGTGGCTTAACTTTATTACAGGTACTTCACTTGTCTTATATTGTACCTATTATTTAAATTTGAGTTGTTTTTAGTTGGGGGTTCGAATCCCTGCAACCCTGTATGAAGATGGGTGGATGGTTTTTAGTGTTTTCAGCCACTCTAATGGCTTTTTAGTTCTTTCATTCCAGTAACATTTTATTCACTTTAGTTTTACATTAGTATCACCTGTCACTTACTCAGTCGATGATATCAATGCAGTACAGTGCAAACACTATATAACATTTCAATTTGTCTGTTTCAGCATAGCCCTTGGTGCTGCTTCGTTATCGCTAGTTGTCACCTACCCTTTAATGAAGAGAATAACATACTGGCCTCAGCTCTTCTTGGGTATCTTCTACAAAAATCACATTTCAGCATACACTAATTTAAAGGAAAGGTCCACCCTGAATGACTTCTTCTTAATGTTTATAGTTTATAACACTTGATATTCAGTGTCAAACTCTGAGTTTACTTTTTAGTTCTTCTCCTTCCATCAACATGTTGGTCTGGTTTTACTACATTATGCACAATGCCATTTGACTACCTACTGATAGTGGTGTCAGTGGGATTTAACCATTGCTTCAGCTTTACCTAGAGAGCGATGCAGCAGCACTTTAGTACTTTAATCTGTCCAGCTTTCTTAGCTCCTCATCTGTACACTCTGCCCCAACTTGCATGTTAATACCACTGTTAATTGCATCATGCTTCTCATCTTGTAGATTACTAACTAGCCGAGTCGAGTCTTTGCCATCACTCAGTGCAACTGCATTGCATTTTGGAACACTGAGTCCAGTATATTAAGTTCTCACTAATATGACCTTGAACATAAGTGGAAAATGGTGAATGAGAGGTTCTTGCTCTTTTATTAGCAGCTAACCGCTAAACCTGACCATTATCCCTTGTGTGAGATTTGTTCTCCAATTAAAAGCCATTGTGACTGCACTAACACTGTCCTTTGTGACATCAGTGCAAGACATAACCTCTAACGTTTCACAGGATTAATGAAAAAATACAGCCCCAACCAAAATATCTGCACCAAAAAAAAAAAATCATCACTAATATAAACATAATTTCATGTTTCAGGGAGGACTTTTCCTTTACTATGTAAATTATATTAGTGCAAAGTCTTAAGTCACTTTTCTTGCTAGGTCTTACCTTTAACTGGGGAGCTTTGCTTGGCTGGTCAGCCGTGATGGGATCATGCGACTGGTCCGTGTGTCTGCCTCTGTATTTCTCTGGCGTGATGTGGACGCTGATATACGATACCATCTATGCCCATCAGGTACTTTCTAGTTTATTGTATTGTAAAGTAACTATGCTTTGTAGCATGGTTTGAGTAGCAGGGAACCTGGTTTGTGTTGCATGAATTTGGGATTTCTCTTAATATTCTGTACTGAACAGGACAAAGAGGATGATGTTAAGTTGGGTGTGAAGTCCACAGCCCTGAGATTTCAGGAACACACCAAACCCTGGCTGAGTGCCTTCACTGTGGCCATGCTGTCTGGATTAATACTGGTAGGCACTAATGCAAACCAGACCGTCCCGTACTACGTAGCCGTGTCTGCAGTTGCTCTTCATCTAGCACAACAGGTTAGTATGGTTCAAGATTTAGCCACTTTTTTCCCATTAATTTTAAGAATCGAAACCACACAATTGTTATATTAAGATGCAGTAATGTTATAAAGTGTTGTCTAACCATTTTTTCCCCCCTTCCAAATGGTGTGACTTACAGATTTATTCTTTGGACATCAACAGGCCTGAGGATTGCTGGAAGAAGTTCGCCTCCAATCGTAATTTAGGACTTTTGTTATTCTTAGGAATAGTTCTTGGCAATTTGTGGAAGAGAAAGGATAGTCAATATGAAACGATCAACCCCCCACCCTAGTTTAAAATATTTTTTTAATGTAAATATGAATTTTGCTTAGTCATGATCATTCATTTAAAACATTTATTACATTTTAATGAACAGGGACAAAATACTTAATTTGTTTTTTAATTGTTACATTTATTAAAAACAATAAAATCAATGTGGACATTGAGAACAGAGACATCAAGTTACATCTACATACACTCAAAAGAAAATCCTTAAAAGATTTTTTTGTTTATACATGGAATAAAATAACAAACCTGTGCAAGCTGATCACTAAATCAAGTTGATTCAAGGAATGAAGTTTAGTCAAGGAATAAGTTGTTTTAGTAGACCTAGAGAGCAGTATATAATGTGCAGAACAAAAACAAGGCACCAGATGAAATTAAACACAGAATTCAAAAGAACAGATGTGTTGTATGTGCTGAAGCTGTATTATTTGGTGAAAGTGAGTGAAGAATGTTTGTTGGGAGGTGGTCACGAGGACGCGCACTCCTCATACGGAGATTCATAGCTGTCCATCGGAGGGCAGGTGCACACAAGATGCTGGTCACCATAGATGTCATCAATCCTCGAAATTGTAGGCCAAAACTTGGTTTCAGGTCTCACAAAAGGCTGCAATAGGACAATAAATGTTGGTTCCAGTTGTAAAGTAAAGACGTTTTTGTATAAATTATATAATAAAAGGCATAAGATACATACCATTGGGAAAGCAGCAGACTCCCTAGAGTAGGGTCTGTCCCATGTGCTTGAAGCAATGCATGCCAGAGAATGAGGAGCCATCTGTGTACAACATCACCATGTTGAGTCTTTATGGCCAACCATTGCACTGTTCAATGTACATTTATTGCAGAATACTTAAAAGCAATTAGCTCAACTATACAGAAATTGTATACCTTTAACGAGTTAACTCTAGAATCCATCCTGCCTGACTCGATGTCTGCAATTTCCTGTCGAATGGCCAGCAGAGAGTCGCAGAAACGGTCCAGCTCGGCCTTGTCCTCCGACTCAGTGGGTTCGATCATTAGTGTTCCAGTCACAGGCCATGACATGGTAGGAGCATGGAAACCTAGTAAATGTTTCAGAAATTTAGTACATTACTAATTAATACTTGTACACGATTCATTTCGGAAGAAAAGCCAAGTTCTTAAAGTTTATAATCCTGTACCATAATCCTGTAATCTTTTGGCAATATCCACTGCCTCGATGTTGGCAGTCTTTTTGAACGGTCGAACATCCAAAATAAATTCATGAGCAACAAAACCTGTAAAAAAAATAAAAACGTGTTTGTTTCTCAGAAAAATCTCTCTCTATATATATTAAAAAATAAAAATAAATAAAAACTCTAAGCTACTAGCAAGTATAATGAAAATTTAACCATCAAAACTGGTATTCACCTTTAGAGCCCCTGAAGAGGACCTTGTAATGGCTTTCAAGTCTCTTTGCCATATAGTTGGCATTAAGGATTGCCACCTCTGTTGCATGCCTTAGGCCATTAGCACCCATCATCTACAAAAACATTACTAAGTTTATTATCATCTTAAATGCCACACTAATTTATCATCATGTTCTGCCTATAGCCATCCCCCTGACTGACAGATTCACATTACCTTTATGTAGGCCCAGGAGATGGGCAGGATGGCACTAGAACCCCAGGGGGCAGCACTGATGGTGCCTAGTGAATTTGTGTTGCTGCACTGCATGTTCACCACTGGGTGGCTTGGCAGGAATGGAGCAAGATGCTCCTTCCTGAAAAATTTATAAAAAGTTTATAAACACAGACTTCACTTCAGCATATGAATTTAGTTGAGTGCACACATTTGAACAGGACAAACAAATAAATAAATAGCAACAAGACGTTTAGTGCGTGTTCCTTCATTATCACATTTTTTTTTTACAAAAACTGGAAACCCCCGATTATAAAATTATTCTTTATCCATCTTGACGCATCTGAACATTTCAGATTGCTGTCTTGCTGCAATATACACCCATAACATATTTAACATATCTTTTGTGAACAGTGCAGTTGCACACAAACCTCACTAGAATGTCAAACATGACTCAATAATATTAGAAAGAGAAACTTGAACTTACACTCCAATTGGACCCATACCAGGGCCTCCACCTCCATGGGGAATACAGAAGGTTTTATGAAGATTCAAGTGAGAAACATCCGAGCCATAATCACCTGGCCGACATAATCCCACCTGTTAGAAGATGCAGATACAAATTATGCTCATACAGTGGCAAGAAAAAGTATCCCTTTCCAAAAGTAACCCATTGGAATTTCATAAATTTCTGAATAATTGCTCATAAACTGTGATCTGATCTTCATCTAAGTCAGGGGTATTGGCAAATATAGTGTGCCTAAAAGAATAACAAAAACAAATTCTGATCTTTCATGTCTTTATTGAACACACTCGGTCAACATTCAAAATGGCAGTGGAAAAAGTAAGTGAACCTTTAAAATTAATAACTGGTTGACCATGAAATTCCAAAAGATTCACATACTTTTTCTTGCAACTGTAATTATGTTAATTATATGTTAACGTAAACTGGAATCTTTTCAAGTTCAAACAGACAAGTCCCTCCCAGGCAAGTTCAAACAGTTTTGTTCAGGGATGTTTTTCCTCACCTGTGCGTTCATGTTAGCTCCATCCAGATAGACTTGTCCACCATTCTGGTGAATGAGCTCACACACTTCGCGAACGTTCTCCTCAAACACACCATTAGTTGAGGGATACGTGATCATTATGGCAGCCAGGTTTGCTTTGTGTTTATCAACCTGTTGATGGAAAAGTTGATATAATATAATATAT